AAAGTTACCCAAAAAAGGAAAGCGGTACATAGCCTACTCCGATTATATGCCCATGGACAACAAAATGTTAAGTGTTTAAAGGCACATTTTATCATCAAAGATGCCGTGCAGGTGAACAGTGTACAAGTTTGAAGAAAAATCCTATATGAATTACAAAACAGTTTCAAGTTATAAATAGCTACGAAATTTATTCTTCTGTTGATGAAAGAAAAGGAAAAAATACCCTAAAGATGTCACATGGCAAGCGAAGACATGTTTTGGATATTATCGTTATTTCTACCGGGTTGTTTTATTAATTAAGACCAAAATATTGTGGCTGAAAGCTGTTCGACTTTAACGGACCTAAAAGTGCGGGATGTTGATAATTTTGGTGACCGGTCTACTCGAAGCACAGGCACCGCATCCACCATTTTATCTCAGGATACCTTCTGGCCACTTTAGGAACCCGGACTCCCGTTCCATCGGCTTCTCTCACTCGCTCGTAAAGCAGATAAAGTCACCGCCTACCAAAGGATCACCGAAACCCAGCAGCATCTGGCGCGCGACATTAGCCGTGGCGCCGAAAAGTAGTGGGGAAGAAAAGAATAAATTCAGGTAGATTAGATCAAGGGATCCAACGAACAACCAGCTAAAGTTTCTTTAATATTACCTACGCCGTCAAAGATGAAAATCGATAGATCGTTTTGTTAATATTTTTTTTTAGAAATTATTTTCAATTTATAATAAAAGTCTCAAAATTTACGTCGTCATTACAAGATTTAATGGATTCCTGTGGTTTTTTAATATCACTGATAATATTTACATCGATATTAAGATCCGATTTATGACATGGTTTGAGAATATTGAACTCTACACAGTTTAACTTTTTCAAGCAAGGAAATTTTGTCAAAATTATTTATAATCATACCTAAGACCGTATTGTATATTCATAAAAATGATATCAAAACACATTTAGAAACATTTAAAAAAAATAATTAAATAATATCATCCAAATTTGATACTTTTGAATTGTGGAAAAAAATTTATTAATAATTATTGTTTTTTCAAAACATTTGATCTTCATATTTAGTTTATCTAATATGTAAAGAAATTCATTACCATTTTGTAAAACAGCTTTTATTACAAAAAATCATTGGATCACTGATACTACTGAATTCTGCAGGAACTACTCATAAATAAAATTCGTTTATAAATAAGCCTTCTTTCATAACGTTAAATAAAACTTTAGATAAAGTAATAAATAAATATTTCATAAAAAATTGTCGATCGTGTAGCTTTAGGCTATTTTATATAATGTTATTCAATTATTCTGCAAATGAGAGAAGCATCACTGAGAGAGAAAATTACAGTTCAGAATAAATATAATTAGCTGATTGAAGCACTATTTACACCAAATAAATATTAATTAAATAAGTAATTGTAATTATCCAAAGATCTCATAAAGATAAACACTTGATGGATATATTTCTTCAAGATATAATTTGTATAATTTACAAAATATTATAAATATATCAATAAATGAGTTTTTTTGTTAATAAATTCGTTCATAACGCTGACATAAACTGTTGAAACCATTTTGATGTTAAATTAAATCGCATTTCAACAGATATTTAGGACACTTTGGAGCTCCTAAATAAATATCCAGCTATTTTTCATGAAACTTATCTCTATTCTCCTGTTAGATAATGATAATAAATGTGTTACATATATACATAATCATTTCTAGTAAAGAAAAATACCTTTATAATAGATGTAAACATTATTTATCAATATTACTTAAGCATGAGAATCATCAAAAAAATAAAATCCATCATGGAATCTATGAAAACATTAATATAAATAATATTGATATGACAAATGATGCAAGCGAACACCTCTATGAAAGAACTTCTATGATAAATGAATTCATCATGAATAAAATTTTCACTCAGGTGGACAATATAAATGAAAAAAAGGTAGGTAATTTTTCTTGGCAACACTGATGTTAGTCACATTAGGTTTTTTTAGGTGTATTATCACACCGTGCAATATGAGAACTGTGGAAAAGATATAGGATAACACAGTCGGAGAATAATGAGTTAAATTTAAAAAATACTTTTTTAGAGATTATTTTATCGTAATTTATGAAATATTATGTTGATGAAGAATCAAGTGAAGGTATTACGGAATAATAATAATTGCGATACGACTTGTCGGCATTATCAGAGGTGGAGGACGTGGAAGATGTTATACAAAGGTACCGCGCGTTCTAGAGCTCTTTGTAATTTCTCACGAAATACACTTGTGCACGAACAACGGGCCCGATGATTTGAACATCGAACGACGGTAATTTAAAGACGATGAAAGATGACGAGAAGATATATTCTAGGATCGAAAAACAGAAATAAGTATATATAATGATAATGCAATTACGTGACGAATTGCGTGTTGCTCGTGCAATCTCATTAGCAGGCAATATTTTAGAATTAAATTGGTTAAAGTGTTGTTATATCCTCAGGAGAGTAATCAAAGTGTTTAAAATTTTTTTTTCATTTGAAATCAAGACGCTTTGAGAATATAAAATACTCGAAAATTTGGATAATAAAAAAAATATTATTGAAACACAATCGTTAAACGCTTCAATTAAGATTGGATAAAAAATGCTTGACAGTATGATTCAAAAATAAAAATGAACAATATTCACATTTCAACACGCTATGATTAGTTTTTAAATTATACCTTTCATTTTTTTTGTTCATTTACTCACAGAAAAAATTTCTCTAAGTCATTCATGTTTAAAATGAGAAATGTTGTTACTTACTTTACCTCTTAAAATTTTTCAATTACAATCAGGATCATCTATTTTAGAAACTCCACCATATTTTGAAACTACCAAAACAGATAAATAATTCTCCAGTGTCCTCATTGTTTGCTCCATTGAAATCCAAAACCACAATTCATGTAAAATGAATTTGACCCTAAAACAATATAACGTTTTAAAAATGATGATAAATCAATGCTTAATTTTCATTTTTATGACTTCATAATTTCTTATTATCTAAATTTAAATAAAAGCCCAAATAATTTTAGTCATGACTATAAATGGACATTGAAAATAATGATCACAGTTGAATACTTCCATAAATGTAATTAATAAAAAGAGGATAGCATTTGGAGTGCAAAGAAGAAGCATGATAATAGAGTTGAGTTAGTAAACGAGGCAAGAGAGCGAAAAATGCTTGTATCAAAAATGAGAAAAGAATAACAAGTGCTTTCTTCTCTTCTCTGGTGGCAAAAGGAGACTTAAAAAAGGAAGAAAATAAAGAAAAAGTGCGGCGTGACGATGGCGGCCCAAGAACGATCTAACCTGACTTAACTACATAACTACATCTTTCTTCTACGTTGATCGTGAGTAGTGTAAGCCCGCGGCCGCTTCCCCTTCTGGTCCTTCTCCTCCTCTTCTTGTTCATCCATTATCTTATTCCTCCACCTCTGTATTTCTCTTCATTTCGTGGCTCATCCTGAACTCATCTTGTCCCGCTCTATACTCTGGTGCCTCTCGTTTCGTTCCCTCATTCCTCTGTGTGCACGCACCGCCCCATCCACGTTACGATGCTAGCGGCTCAGAAAAAAAGGCGGCCCTAAAAGAACTCGATATTTTTTATGCTCCGACAGCAACTTGGGTGGTCCAAAATGGCCGCCAGTGATATAATATAGTGGTCTGTCTTAGTTCTTACTGCGTCACCCTCTTGCAATCGCCATTTCTTGTGGTAAAACGCAGACGACCCTTCACGTCAAAATTACCTAAATCTCTTCTACATCCTCTTGTTTACTTCCACAAGCATACTTTAAATTAAAAGCCGTAAGATACCTATCAAGCCTATCATAATTGAGTAATCGCTGACAGGATTTATTATTGTAAAGACATCATATTCTCGTGAATCTCGACGTGAATCATGAATCAATGATAAGTTTTTTTTAGATCTTTTTTTCAATGACAACTCTTTAACATTATTATGTAACTGCTGCTATCAATTAATCATATCCATATCAACGTTTTCCCTTTGAATACTTTTATTTCTTCGATATCTTAATCATAATTTATTACCAATAAATTTTTTGATATATGCTTTAGAGCGAATGACTGAAAAATATAATTTTAATAAAAAATATAATATTTTTTGTTCGAATATTCTTACTTTTTTATATCCTGATGATGCTCTGCTATCTTCCTATTCTTCACGTCTCTTCTGCTGGAGAGTAATAAAGTAGAATCATAAGTGTCCTAGCACGTGTCGCACAAGATATATAATTCCAAAATCTCAAATATTAGCAGTGAATCCCTCGCAACCAGAGTAAGAAAAGTGCTGGTGTAATATCAGTTCTTCAACCTTCTATTGTTATCACACAAAGTGGACGCCATGTGCGACAAACAGCACATGAAATTTTCCAACACCACTATCATAGGTGTGAATTACTTTACTGAATATTACTTATATTTAACCATTTTTTATTTTTTCAAATATTACTTTAATAAAATAAAACATTTTAAAATTATTTTAAAACAATTAATTTGTTATGTCAGTAATTATTTTTACAGAAAAGATGAATTTATTTTTTGTTTACGATTGTTGTATATGAATTTTTGTTGGCTAATTTAATTTTATAAATCTTAAATAGCATATTACTAACATGCTATTAGTTTAAATACTAGTCGAAATGTCACATTTATCTCGATAATGACTACGATAAACATTAATTAACACTATAATTGATAAAAAGAAAAATATTCGACGAACGTTGTTTATAGCATGTACGCGGGAACGTGAAGTAAATGCGTCAATGTAGATTGATACGTCACCTAGTGGAGGCTTGGATTAATCGTGCATCGACTTTAAAGATAAAATAGTGATCTTTAATCGATAACATTCAACTTCGTCGGCAATATAATTTCCTACTTTTAAAAAATCTGCATTTTCGATTTTTTGATTAGTTTGCAATTTAAATAAATATTCGTATTCTTTTTTAATTAAAAATAAATGATTCTTATTTATTTATTCACATAATGAAAACAAAGCTATACATCTAAATTGGCTAATTATTCTAGCAAAAACAAGAATAATTTTTTCACCTCATAATCTGTTTTTTCTTGAGTTTGAATGTGGCACCAAGGCAAAGATGATCACTACCTACCGTAAAGTTCGGTATCAAAGGTAAGGTTTCACATTCTGATACTGTTGGCAGAGTATATCGATTTAACGGTTCAACATCAGTGAAAAATATATAATCAACTGTAATCCATTGTCCTTGATTTGTAGTGGCTTCCATTTCTCTTCTCCAATTGTTGTGCTGATAAACACTACTAAATTTGAATGGATGCGTCAAAACGCCAGATGAAAAATGAGCAGATTTCCCTTCAATTATCTTAATTTCTTGATGACCTCTCGAAGTAACATCAACTTCATTAACTTCAGAATTTGCGTTGTATATTTCTCCATTTGTTTTATTAGCAGAGTCATTGCTTGACAACTGAAAAAAGTGAATCGAGTCATCAAGAAATTTATCGACTCAATATTTATTCAGTATTTAATCATTTACTTACCATAATTTTTTCACTCCCAACACCTCTTAATCTCTTTGTCAAAACATTAAAATGTTGGCAATTATCAGTGACAAGAAGAGAAGAAGGAATCAAGCAATTACTCAAACGCATAAAGCCCCTGTTTTCCAAAGTTTGTCCTTTTCCAACATAATGAAATGATCCTTTTGTTATAAAATTATAAACACCAGTAAAAGGTTGCAAGTTAAAATCTCCACATACAATTATTGGATAATACGAAGGTCCACTTCTGTAATATAATTAAAAGGAATAAATTATTTATGTTTGAGTTATTTAATAAAATTTTTCATTCAATTGTTAATAAATAAATGCTTACTCTGTATTCTCAATAAAAGCAATTCTTTCTATTTCAGAAAAAAGTATTTGGGTCTGGGCCAATCTAACGTCATTTCGTTTGGGATTGTAAAGTAGATGTGTTGTAGAAATAACAAAGAAAGTATTAGGACTCTCTTTCAATGAAAATTTAACTACTATTCCAACGTTATCTCTATTCAAAATATCTGTTGACGTTTGGTGATACTCAACATAAACGTAATTCTCTATTTGTAGCTCTTTAGGTTTGTACAGAAGAAGTAGCCCATCCTTAGTATTATTTGTGCGTTTTTTGTAGAGATAGTCATATTCCTTTTCAATAAAAGGTATTAAAAAGTCTTTCAGATGCTCTAATTGCATCTCTTGTATACATATCACCTGCAAGCAAATTGTTTTATTCGAATAGAAGTTGATCAATTATTTTTCTTTAGCAATAATTTATTTATCAATGCAAATGACATACATTAGCTTCAGCTTCTAATATTTCTTTTTGAATCAGAGGTTTTCTGATATTCCAATCTAATGCTCCTGGATGATGATATCGATATAAGTACGAATGAGTTTCTAATAAATTTTGAGCAAGAATATTATAAGATAAAATTCGAAGAATAAAATCAGTGTCTTTGTTTACAGTTCCTGGCAGAAAAATTATTCATTCATTTAAATAACGAAATAAAAAGGTATAAACTTATTATTTACAAATTCATAACTACTGTTTAAATTTACTATTTTAATGATTGACATAAAAATAAACAGTACTTCATTAAAAAAATTTGCAAAATTTACCATTATTTAGTGTTATCCATGGCCTCAATTCTTTATACTTCCTTCGGCTGATTCCATATTGAAATTTTTGTGATAAATTATTAATATCATTTCTAATTTCTTGCACAAAAGTTGTACCACTAGGCTCTGTTCGAGTATTTGATACACTTGAACAATCATTAGAACTATCGCCAATGCACTGATTTAACATAGGTTCCATTTTTGTTTTATTATTTAAATATTCTCCTTTAAAAATACTTTTCTGATATTTGTACTGTGGTGTAATAGTGTTATACGTTGAATAAAAAACTTCTGAATGATTCGAAATACTTTTAGAGTGATTTTCAAAAAGCAAATGATCAATAGATGCTTCCGACATATGAAAGATCTGCTGCAACAAAAAGTAATACTGAACAAACAAAAATAAAGTAAACAGTTACTTTTAGACAGTATATGTACGTAAAAGAACAAAAATTAGTGTTTATAAAATACTAAAGAGACAGATAAGATTACATGACAAAGGTAAAAACAAAAAAACAATACATTGTGAATCAAGGCCATAGAATTTAGTTATGTATGGTAATCAACAAGTTTTTGCAGAATATAAATAACTGAATCTTACCTTAAATTCTTGTTGAAATAATCCTGTATGAATGTAACGACCAACTACATTAGCTAAAGAAACAGTCGTTAATAATTTTGTCGTTGGGACCATTTATTACAATTATAATAAATAGTATATCATATAAAATAGGTTAAGTTGTAATCGACAAAAATAATTTTATGAAAATAAAAAATAAAATAAACTCTAATCTACCGTATTTCCATCACTGAAAATTGTCGAAAACTTCTTTACAGTTATTTAGGTTAGAACATTCAGCAAAGTCACATTCACAAAAAACAACTTGTGTGAAATTCGTAGTCAAAGTCTTTTCTTCATATTTTCAATCGCTACGTCTTAATGAATTGCTTAAAATATTCTAAACTTTATTGACAATATTCAAAATGTTTTCAAATCCTCTTTCGGATTATACTAATTAATGATACTTTTTTTGATCGTATGTTTATGTATAGAGTTAACGAATGATTAAATACAAAATAAACGGATCGATATAGTCAAACATACGTGAACTACTGCTGTTTTTTTGTGGTTAACTTTTTTTTCATGACGCAATGAAAACTTTAATACTTTTCAGCATTGCTTACGGTTAAAGGTTACCAACTTACAATAGTTCATCCAACAACAAATATTATTGAAGACACAATAGTTTTTTTATCAGTGATAAAAGAGGTCTCACACGAATTTGCATATTTTCTATTTTTTTCAGTTACTACGCATCATAATTTTTAAGACAACTGACAAATATTTTTATAAAATCAAGTAAAATCTACCGGTTACTTCGACTCTTATAAATAATATTGTTATCGATAAATGTGACTAATTTTATTATTGTTTTAAAATCTTGAAAAAAGAATGTTTGTTACACACTTTTATAATGAAAGAAAGTGAAAACTCAATCACAAGGATTGCTCAAATTCATTGTGTGATTACATCTTTAAGGAAATCATCATATTGACATAACTTCACTGTTTGGAAAATGAGTCTTACAATGCTAATGACAATAATTATATATGACAATTAGAGGTATTTTAATGAGCTCAGTTGTCATAACAACTTTCGTCAAAGCACTTATTTAATAAAATTAACTAATTGAGAAATGATAATATTATCTCTAATAACTTAAACTAAATTTAAAAAAAGTTGAAATATTAAAACACTTAAAAATTCGATCTAAGTTTAGTTAAATTTATTAAAAAAAAATTATTTACAAAGGCACTAACAGTCGATGTAATTTTTTTTTCAATTAAATACTTTTGTTTTTGATTATCTGACAATAAAGTAATTATCTTTTCAAAATTGTACCAGCTCAGTTTTGGTCCTTTAACTATTTAACTTCATGTTAATCAGCCAACACTCTCATCATAATTTTTTGTGCGTTGATAAAATTTGCTATCTTTTATTTTATCAATTAAATAAATTTTCATGTACTACTTATTTGATTGATGTTATTATTAAAATATTACTAAAAGTTTTTATCAAGTAAATTAAAAGCAGCACCTAGACTCCAACTTAATTCATGACCATTATACTTTTTGTAAAGCTAAAAGAAAAAAAAACCAATTGCATAAATTTTTACGACTAATACAATTATACATTAATTTAGAAAAATAAAGCTTTCCCGAAACTAGTAATTCTGCAAATCAAATGAACTCTGACGAATTAGAGAAGCTGACAATAAAAGAAGAGTACTTACATGTAGTTTAGTCGAATTGTCAAGACCAAAACAATCGTGTAATAAAATATAAATAAACGACAAATCGAGGCACATAAATGGTTGATCAGCATTTGCGTAATTACAGGTATCTATCATCATTTTATGGAATTCTCCAAGAGAAATCACACCACCAGTGAAAGGATCAACTAATCCTACCTGAAATCAAATTTTAAAAAAATTTATCTAAAAATTTCAATTTTTAATTGAATATTTTTTAGCTGAATTTCAATGACCTTACCTCAGCAGCACGTTCAAAATAGTAAGAAACAGCATAAATAGTATGTTTATTTAATCCTATAGGTTTTTCTTTAACAGATTCTATATATTTTTTGATAATTTTCAAACATTCTGGGATTCTAACAATTGGTCTATCTTCTTCTGAATATTTTTTATTCCTAATAACTCTATGTGCACCCTTAGTAGGTCCTCTTACTAAATAATTTATTCCATGATAGCTCCACTCTGTTGAAACTATAGGATTTACACATTCCGACCTAACTTCAACGGTATCCCCAGGATTAACATTTTTCATATCTAAGTTTGCGGTTAATATAGCTTTTCGTGCTGCCATCAGTCCCATTCCTAATAAACTATGAGTATAAAGACTCATGTTATGATTAAAGGCGTTTATTGAATAGACATGTTTAGAAATTTTTTTTAAATCTTCTTCATCAGGAGAATATGTGACCTGTGTTGATCCTCCTCCAAGATCCAAAACTGCTGCTGTATTTTCATTATGTCGTGTTGACAACTGGCCAATTAAAAAATTAACAGTAAACCAAGCATAAATTCCTTCATCTGCACCTTCCATAATAGATACAGAATTTTTGGTTGTCAAGAATCCTGATGATTCAAAGAAATTTTTACATTCTTCAATGATTGCGTTAGCTTTTTCAGGCGGTAATAATCTTAATCCTGCAGTAGCTTTTAGACTAATTGGAGTATGAGCCCATTCTGATACGGGGATCACATCTTTGGCTTTTTTAAGTAATTTTTCTAAACTTTTAATTCCCTCTTTGGGTCTGTCAGCAAAACTACTAAGTCCTGGTTTTATTTCCGAATAAAGCTCATTATCTAATATCAGCTCTCCATTAAAAATTGATGTATGGAAGGTAAATGCTAAAACTCGACTTCCCGTCGAGCCAGCATCAATAATTACAACATACGATGGCTTTTGTAAATTTAAAGAAGATGCAAGACCATCAAAAGCTGATAATCCAAGTTTTAATGGTTGTATATTAGAGGCAATAGCTATATAAATAAAAAATAGTATTCCTAACATTATAACAATTCTGGAAGGCTTGCAGCTTAAAAAATGAGTTTTTTTCGGACGGGATGATAATTCTGTTGGCATATCTTCTTCATTGAAGGAAAGCTGGAACAAAAATTAACAATTATCAATTAACATAACAAATATGCATTGATAAAAAGTTAAAATTTTTTCTACTGTGATAAAAATTAATCTTTTAATTCAAACAACGGAGTTTTGTGAAATTACATTAATTACTATAAATAAGAAATGAATTCATGATAATGTATGAATATTTATAACTATTGGATAAAGTTTAAAGTCAAGTCAAAATTTATCTGACTTAAAGTGAACTCCGATAGTAACCTAAAAAATTTATTATTGAGGAATTTATACTTTCATATAATAAATCATTTAAAAAATCATTAATCAATTAAATTATCCTTATTTTTTGATAGATTCTCAGAATTAATTATGTGATAACTTACTAGTGTATAATACATTTAGTTCATTTTACAAAATTAAATTAACATAAATATAACTACATTGAGCAAAGTAAGAAATAGTATGAAATATTCAGTATAAAAATACAATAAATAATAAACTCGTCTTTGTACTACTATGATAATTCCATAACTTAACCGCACACTAAAAATTAAAAATATGCAATGAAACTGAAGTTGGCGAGGTTAGAAAAGAATTCGTATCAACGAAATTGTCAACAACAGTAAACTTTTTCTAGTATAGTTTGTTAAGGCCACGTGGATAGTCGTTGATAATCTGAAGTTGGCGGGGTTAGGAAGAAATCAAATCAATCGAGGATTTCAACAATTATAAACATCTTCTACACTGAGAAAAAAATTTCGTTAAATGAAAAAATTTTTTATTCAATCAATAAAAGAAACTTTGAGTATTCTCAAGATAAAATTTTATTCAGAGTAATAGTAGTGTTATCAAAAACACATTTTGTCTTTCGTTTCAATGTTGCGACAAGAATGAAAACAAATGACATTTTATTCATTTGAGTAAATAAAATAATTTCAATCAAATATTCATAATTTCGAAGAAATATTTTATCGCGACTATTTGAATGAAATATTTTTTGTATGAAGTAAATTTTTTTCTTAGTGTATGTATAGTGTGTGAAAGTCACGTGAGCTTTTTTATAATTTACAAACAATTATAATCTTTAATTAGTGTATGTAGATAACAAATTAATTATACAATTCACAATGAGTATGATTTTTTTCTTATTCATTAAACAAATTTTACCTAATTTTTGTTTAAAAGCTAAAGTATTAATATAATCGTTGCAAATTTATGATGTTACAATACCTTTCTTCGGCGAATATCCATCGTTATTGCAATAATAATTTATTTGAATTACAATTTATGAAACATTATAAAACTATAATTGATTAATATTAAATAAACTAGATGTTTGACTTTAAAAACATGTGAGTAAAAAAAAACACAAATTAACATACAATTATTTATAAATTTGATCTATAAAATCGATAATCAGTCAGGTCAGTTGGACAAGGATTATGAACTAAGATTACTTTGAAAAGCTTCTAAATAGATATAATTTGTGATGTAAAATGCGCTCTCGCGATGACACTGCATAAAAGATAAGTTCTTTTGTGTAAGAATGTATTACTTTTGACTATTTGAACAACATTAACACTAAAACATATTATGTATTGGTTAATATTCTCTATTCAATGACAACAAATAAAATGTTCACTTAATTCGACAAGATTATTTAATAATTTCTGTGATACTTAAAATTTATTAAATAACAATGGTCACGATTATTTAAAAATTATTTGAATTGAAGTTTTTTGTCAATTAAAAATTGGAAGATGTTAAACAAATATATTGTTCATTTGAAGTCAATACAACGTAGTTTTTAGTATACCGCAAGTAGTTTAACAGATAATTAAGAAAATTATATATGTATCTTTATCTTATGCAAATAGTAGAATTTATTTTTCAGTTGAAACTTCCAAATATGAATATATTAAATTCAAATACAATTCCCACTAGTCAAACATTTTGAACCAATTACTATTCGGCAGTCTACCAAATAGTTAAAATTTTTAGATATACGAATGATATCTATTTATATTCAACTTGTAATGGAATTTTCCTATATTTGAAATTACATAATTATGAAATTTGTTTATTTGAAAATTATTATTCAATTTTTATTCAACACTTTCATTGAATCGTAATTTTTCATTGTGAATTAAATAGTTTAAAATGAATATTTATTTATTTCAGATCTCAATTAAATTTTTTAATGAAACGCACTTTGCATAAGTAGTTTTTGAAAAAAATTAATTAATAATTTACATATTTTTTCATGTAAAATTAGGGGAAAACATGTGATAGTAAAAACGTATTTATCAATAAAGATTAAAAATTTTAACATTGTCTTAAAAAAGTTCAGCAATATTTGCTTATCAATAAATCAATTAATTATCTTGCGATAATATTCTGGAGTATTTCTCTCATCGTTTTAGTTCAGTTCAACTCAGAACATATAAGTTTTTTTTGGTACCAAAATAAATCACAGCTCAGAAAGTACATTTATAGAATTTAAACACATGAGCGTGTTCGTGCGTTTATAAAGTATTAAGTATTATTAATAATAGTACGAAATCCGGATTCAATAATTATTAATCAGTTGGTAATTTACCTAGTTTGCATTAGATATTAAAAGAAATACAAAGATGTCTGATCGATCAAACGAAAAACCTTTAAACGTTGTAAAACAAGCAATCGTTCAAATTGGAGCTGGTGGATCTGCTGGATTTGTTGAAGTTTGTATGATGCATCCTATGGATATTATAAAAACACGCTTTCAACTTCAAGTGAAAACGACAGAAAATAATCCAATGTACTACACAGGTACAATTTTTTTTTAATTTTCGTCTATTAATAAACAATATCATTAAATATTCTCATTATTTTATAAAAAAAATTGTTGATCATGAGATAAATAATAATAAACTTAGACTTGAAAAAATATTGAATGATTCATTGTTTTATTCTTTAGTGCAAAAAAGTCTGCTTCTGAGTAATATTAATATTTAACAATATTAAACAACTATTACCATAATTATGAACATATTTCAAATTATCGATAAAATGCTAATTTAAATAGGAATGCGGGATTGTATGAGAAAGATATATTTAACTGAAGGACTTGCTGCTTTCTGGAAAGGAATTTTACCACCAATTATTGCTGAAACTCCAAAACGAGCACTTAAAGTAAAATTTTAAACGAAGTTATTTTTTAATAAGTAATTAAAAATAATGAATGATATGTTTTCTTTTTTTAGTTTTTTACCTTTGAACAATACAAAAAGATATTCAGTCATGGCTTGAGTTCACCTACACCAGTGGTAAAAAAGATAATAGACCATGTAGTGATTACTTGACTCGTAAATTTTTTAATAATTTTTTAATAGACATTTGCACTCGCTGGCTTTTGTGCTGGTATTACTGAAGGAATTGTTGTAAATCCATTTGAAGTTGTTAAAGTTCGTTTACAATCAAATCGCACACAAATGAAATACTCTCCAAGTACACTTACTGTTACTAAAGAAATAATTCAAGAAAGTGGATTTACCGGATTTAACAAGGGTTTATCAGCCACGGCATTAAGAAATGCTATCTTTAATAGTTGTTATTTTGGATTTTATCATTCAGTTAAAAGTTTGATACCGGTTAATAAAGACCCTTGGATTGAATTCCTTACAAAGGTATAATTTAATATAAGTTGATACAATTGTGTCAATTTATTAATACATTTATTAATTTTACTTCGATTAATTGAAATAAAAAATAATAATGATAATAGGTAAGTTTAGGATTCATGGCAGGCACATTAGCTTCATGTTTGAATATTCCATTTGACGTGGTGAAAAGTCGAATCCAAGGTCCCCAAGGTAGTATGTATTACAAGGGAACTCTAAATACACTTGGAATCGTATATAGACAAGAAGGGTATGTTTACTTTATTTTTTTTTAGCAGCTTGACTATCGTTATAAAATTTAAAGTTATCATTATTTATAATATTCATCCACAGACTAACAGCGTTGTACAAAGGATTATTACCGAAAATTCTTCGACTCGGACCTGGTGGAGCAATCATGCTTGTCGTATACGATTATATGCATGAATTTTTAACAGAACAAATTCGTTGATTATCAATAATTATTTTAATAATAAATTAATTTACCTTGATATAAGTGTAAATATTGTACGATATGATCTATATATATTTTTGTTATTTAGATCAATTTAAAGATCTAAAACTGAGTCCAACCATTTCTCAAGATCAATTGAATTGGTATTCGATGTACTTTTAGATACTTTTTGTTCTACAGGTTAACAGAAAATTTAAGCTTATAATTTCTGTAAATTAAAATATTTCAATAATATTTATATTTGTAATTAAGTAAAAATACCTTCATTAGTTTTAGACATTGAAAATGTGTTAGCTACTGGAGTAAGTTTTATTGGCTCTGGCTCTTTCAATGACAGAAGAAAATCTAAATCATCATCCACTTTTTCAGTTTCATTAACTTCGGAATTCTTTTTTTTATTTTTAATAATATCATCATTCCGACAATCTCGTTCCCTTATTTTTTCTCTTTCCAATAATTCAATTTCATATGATTTTTCTGATTGTTCAGCTCTACTGTTGAAATATGTTAACTGATCTTCCTTCATGTAAGATTTTTTATTAAAAAGAATAAGAAAAATAATAATATTATTGAATTAATGAAAAATACTTACAGTAAAATAAGTGTCATCAACCTCAACAAGTTGGTGATAAGGTATGCAATCAACAATCGTTTCTAAATTTCTTATATCAATAGCTAAGAGTTCACTGTATTTAGAAATATCTTCAGTCCAATTTTTTTCTGATTTAAATTGAAAATATGCACAAGATACTGCCGCATTCGCCAAATCTTCGAAATCAATAGTGGACTTTGAATCTCCCTCTGGATTATTAGCGTATCGCGATTTTGGTTGAACAAAGTTTTGATTCACATAATCAAACATATCATACACATCATCACTTTCATCAGAAGAAGACTCATTCCTTACTACAGGAGCATTTTTTTCTTGCGATGGAACCGTTTGTGGAGTAACTCGACGATTTTTTTTTGCATTGAGTTTTTGTTTCTGACGACGATTATCTCTAGGATAAATTAAAAAAACAGTTATTTAATCATTTATTTCAAATCTGGGATTGTGTGCCACTACAAATGGAAACAATTAGTAATAAAAGTTTATTATTCTATATTGTTAAAAATAAATATTTGTATTAAGATCTACATAAAAGATCGAAAAATAATTTGCAAGTGTTTCTTATTCTATAATTTCAAATATGACTACATTATTTGAGAGGTTATAAAACATATTTCACCTGTTTCGTTGTTTATCCATAATAAGAATATTTTTGTATATAAATTTATGATTCTTTAAATTTTTATCAATAGATTCTTTTTGTCCAAGAAGATAAAATTTTTAAAACTTTCCTTTTTAAAACAATGAATAAGGATGTTTATTATGTATGAATGTGTACAATTTATACATCAACAGAAGGTAATTCTGAATACAGAATAATAATAATTGAATAGCGGGAAAAATTAATGTTAAACATATTTTGATCAATAAACAAACTGATCACCTTTATACAAATAAAGGTAAAATAGCTTTAGCAACTGTGTAAGCGCCTTTTACGAATTTAATGATCTTCAAAGCCTTTGATTTTTTGTCCACTGTGTTAGCTACACTGGCTGAATCAGTGATAACATCAGATTTTTGTAGTTCTTTTTTATCATTATTGTCATCATCACCATCATCAATATTACGACTATTAACTGTAACAAGAATCGTCCACCAAAGAAAGACTCTAAAAAGATAAAATTAATTATTAAAAGCCTTGCTGAATTTAAAAATAAACTCCTAAAATACCTTATTCTACTACTTACAAAATGATTCCATATTTTATGCAATATTGAAGAATCTCCATGGTTCTTGTTTGCGCAATTCAAAGAATTTATTTCAAATTTTCTTGAATTTTGATTCAATGTTTTGCTTAGTTTTACGCCACACACAAAAATTATGTACATTCTTCATGGCTAATCGTGTAATTTTAATAAAAAAAACTTTAAATTAATCTTTTATGTTTTTTTTTATGATTTCATGTATATTTTAAAATTTTTATGCTACTCAAGTTTATGTTTAAGTCGTAAAAAAAACATAAAATAATCGAATACTGTATTTAATATTATAAAATTTTTGCATTGAATTGAATTATAACAACGTTGATGACATCAAGTAAGTTTTTATTCATGAATTCAATAGCTATGCGTTATAAGAGACTAGATATAATGAAGATCTTATGAATTTATTATTGTACAAAATAGAGATGAATATTTATTATTAATAACAATGATATATATATATATATATATATTAATTTAATAAATCTAACAAAATCACCGAAAAAATAACTTATACTATTAAATACTGATTGATCGAGAACTTAATTTTTCTGAATACTTGAGTAATAATTAAAAATAGTTGTCTGTTCTCATTTCAATAAATACTACAATTTATAAATAATTTATCGAGTTCATATACAAGTTTTATAAAAATTTTTTCAATAATAATAATCTTCACTGTAATAAATCAGGAGAAACTGTGTCATTATTTACAGAACTGTTATCATGATGTTCTACAGCATCTTCAGCTGCCCATCTTTCTTCATTCATTAATTCTAATGACAAACGTTCTGGAGATTCTGTGTTAATTGTCTGACTTGAGGATTGTTTTTTTCCCTGTGTAGTAGATAACTTAGTATCATTTTCTATTTCACTAGGTCTCACGGGGCACTCGAAATGAACACAATGAAAAACTTCATTAGCTGTATTATGTGTTCCAACAATTCGAATGTAAACGATTGGCCGAGGTGGATGAAAACGTAATGTTTGCCAAGAACGACATTGTTCATTACTTTTATCGATCACACGATCCCAATGCCATGAATTTTTTGAGACTTCTATGTAATATGAGTATGAACGATCATCACAGTCCCAAAGTAATAATCTACAATTCAATTTTTTTATTAGGTTGTCTTTAACTATTTAATTGTAATATTTCAATGATTAATGTTAATTAACATACCGCATTGTGCCAATGATATAAGGTTGTCCAAGTTGAACAAGAATGCACCCAGAACCAAGTTGATGGCAAGTATAACCACTGTCCCAATCATAATTAGTCGTATCGCCATTCAAAAGTACACTCCTAGATCTACTAACTCCTTCTATCACACATGCACTACGATCAATTGTAGCCACATTTTGAGTTGGAACAATAAAACCATTCGACAAAGTTTCTGAATGATTTGTATAGTAAGCTTCAAAACTTACTACATGAAACACCTATAAAATACATACAAAATTAATTAAAAATATTAAAGTGTTTTCTAAAGTTATTGTTGAATATAATTACTTTGTTAACAGTATTATGTGTTCCAACAATTCGTATGTAGAGAACAACACGTGGTTCAAAGTATAAATATTGCCAACTACGACAAAAATAATTGGAATAATCTATCACTTTCACCCAATCTTTTTGATCAATTGAAACCTACAAGTAAATGTTTCGTTCATAAAATATTTTCGGAATGAGTGAGTAGTGCAATGATTTATTAAATCATTAAATCGAACAATTTTGTAATAATTTTTTGTCTATTTTCTTAATAATTACCTCAATATAATAAGAATAGGAGCGTACATCACGATCCCATAATAACATTTTGATATGATTGATAATACTTTGAGTACCTAATTTTATTAGAATGCCATGATCCTTTAATTCTGTGATAATATGCCTCGTATATCTGCATGAAATATTTCATAAATTAATTTACAAAATAAACAACCAATGTGATAGGTAATTTCTTTTGCATGATGTCTATTGCGAATAAAGGCTTAAATAGAAAAGAATAGAATCAAAGATAAAGTAATATAATTTCAATAGAACATAATTTACCCTCGTTCCATATCGTAATTATTAGTATCTCCATCAAGTAGAAAACCCCTCATTTCTCCCTGTAATACTTGAGCACCATATCTTGGATGAGCAACATTTTCATCAACTAACAAACGACCTCGATAAATAAGCTCAGAATCTCTGGTGTGAGTACGGGCAGCTATTGCATCTAAAATAGCTTCTGGTGAAACAAGACCAGTAGGACGTACAATATTCAATAGATCTGTAATTGCAATTAAGCACAGACGTACTTGACCTGAAAATAGTAAGTCAATATAATTCTTTCAATTAATAAGTTTAGTCACTTCATTACCTATTTTTCAGATGTAAATTCTTGTTTTACTTATAGAAACTGTGTTGGTTTTTTATACAAACCTAATACTTGACTACTATCAATTTCCGGGTTTGCTTTTACCCATGCTTCTACAGCGAGAAATATGTCAATTTCCGGAGCGTAAAATGAATCTCGAGATATTAATTCAGTCAATGCTCCCGAACTAAGTTGAAGAAAACTTTCATGTTTTATAATATCGTATGCATGTTTATCCATATATTCATGACAAACCTAAAATATTTAATAGACAACAAACAATACATAAAACCTGAATAACAAATTAGTATTTAATAAATTTTGAAATATTTACTTTTGTTAATCTGGTTAGTTGATATAAGCGTGTAGCATCAAAAATGAGACAAATATTTTTAATATTCAATATTTCTTTAAGATAATCTGATATTGCCATCTCGAGATCCGTAAATCCATACTGATTTGCTAATCCTAAGATGTCTAAAATAGTCTGGAAAAGTAAAAATATATTACAAAAACATTGAATATATTATTTCTAATAAATGCTATTATATTATTTGTGAACAATAATGCTATTTACCTCTTCTCGTTGGTTAACTAAAGATAGGTGGCCTGTATAAATATACTTAAGAAGTTCTTTGAAAGCAGGTAATGTCGTGCCTTTAAGCTCGATTTCTTGTTGAACAGATTCTTTGAGACCACCGTATAAAAGAGCACGAAAATATTGACTTCTAGCAGCCAAAATAACTTTATGCCCATTGAATCTTTGACCAGCGACAATTAATGTAACATCAGAATAGTCATCAGATAAATATAAAGCACCAATGTTTTCAGAAAGGTGGTTAATGTGCACGACTTCTCCAGAAGGAGGGTTTAAATGATGATGAGAGCTCATTTGCGATAAAATCCCACAAAATTACTGCATGTAAATCTTTTTTTGAATAAATAAGTTTATTATTTTGTACATGTGACTATTGTTTGCGTAATAACACTCAAGCTAACAGTTGAAATGTTTATAACTAAGAAAGTTACAGCACTTACTCGAAATAAATACAATTACACATTTATTTTCTTGAATCTTTTTAATATATTTGTACTTATGAATAAATTAAAAATGTACAAAGATAAAAATTTTTTATTAATCTTTGATAGAGATGTTAGTTAACAAACGGCCATAATGAGTTTACGAAGTACAAAAAACATATTGTAAACGACATCTGATGTATTTCATAGAAATCTTGCAAAGAGAAGATTTACCATCAGTCAACCATTCACTGATTTTTAAATGTGAAAAATATTCAACCAAATTTTATTAATCAAATATTTTAAATTAATTAATTCGGTTAATTTTTCAACTATATATTTTTCAGTGTGAAACATTTCTTTTTTTTTGCATTAATTTTAATTTAATAAAATTTTTCCTCAAGTTGATAAAAATTTCTTAAATTTAAGTTTAGTTTTAAATTACGGCGTAAATTTATTCAACAAATTATTTTTGTACTTAACTTTTCTTAAATTTTTTGATAAAATCTATTTTACGATTGCCGTGCTATGAAACGAATTCAACCTGAAAAACGTGATCGACGTATAACATCAAGAGCATTAGAATTAAAAAAACCATTTGGATTCTGTTGTGATATAAATTATCAAGATCCAGAGACCCAATATGATATGCAGAATCCTCCTTTTGAATCAGCTTTTCCAGATATCAAATTTGATAATTCACGACCGGAACTTAAATTTTGTGTTCAAGATATCACAAAAGCTTCAGCTCCAACCGCTCTTCGAACTGCAATTTTTCGAGAAGATGTGGAAATAAAACAAGCTGCGACTTATGGAAAATCAAAAAAAGGTAGAGGACCTTTGAAATGGTTTTTAGAAGAAGAAATAGAAGCTGCACGGAATTTAATAGCTAAAGAGAAAGAATTTGAGTACAAAGAAAAAAAGAAAAAAATTCAAAAAAAGGGTAACTGATAACCTAACATGATTACGTAGTAAATTATTTAAATAATGTTAATTTACAGCAAAAATTAAAAGATATTCTAGAAAGAAAAATAAAAAATATCCAACGGATTCTAATAATTTATTGAATATTGAAGAAGTAAGATTAAATGATTTAGAAGAAAATAAAGATGAAACAACAAACAATTAAATGAACAATTATGTTGATATATTTTAATACAAAAATTATATTTGAGCTGTACACAAGAAGGTTTTGGAAGTCAATAAAAGATAGTATCAATGTTAATTAAACCTAGAGCTATTAAGACATTTTTCATATGAAATCTATAAATTTTTTTGTAGTACATTTTTTTTTATTATCGAAGATTTTTCCTCAATAATAAATAAATTATAATTCGAAGCCAGTATTAGTAAAATCTTATCTATTTTTATATATATCACGAAAGTATTTCATATTAATTTATATTTAAAAAAAAAAACCAATTAAATTGTTTTTCTATTTCTATTTTCATATTTGTGCAACAAAAATAGTATAATGAAAATGAAGTCTTATATAAATATAAAAAATTAACGAAACACATAATAATATTCTGTTTACATTTAATGTAAAAAATTATTTTTTTTTATATTTATTGTGAATCATATAAAGTTTAACTCTTTTTATTTTCATATAATTTAATAAATAATATTATTCCCTTTAGACACTTTTTAGTGTACATAAAACATTTTTTAAATAATATTTAAAAAATATTAAGATCTATATTGAACAAATAAAATAGAACGTATTTCAGAATTCATTCAGTATCTTTGGGCAGATAATAATGTGGCACATAAATTAAGTTTCATAATCAATAATAATTCACTATTAATACTAGGATGATGAAATCAAAGATAATCATAAAATTATTCAATAGCTAAGCAAACTTAATTTTGTAATTAGTAATCATAATAAATTTTAATGACTTTTAACTGATTCTGAATCATAAAGCTATATATAAATTGTATCGAAATTTTTGTTAATGAGCCTCATTAGTAAGTATTAATTATAAATATATCATATATATTTTTTTCGTAATTTCAACTTTTTAAATCTATGATTTTTTTTGAATAACCTCAATTTCAATTATTTCATCATCAACTTCTTCAATCATTCTATGATCTATCACAACTCCTGCTACAAGTTTCTCTGAATGTGGAGTTTTAGGTGTTACGGGACGCGACAGTGTAATTTCTTGATTACTTTCTGATTTTTTGTCATCTACCATTTTTTTATCTAAATTAGAAATTTCAGATTTGTTTGAATCATATGTTTCAGAATTTTTAGCAGCATCTTCAATGTCCTGAAATGGAAGAGAATTACGTCGGACCATCTTAAATGAAAATTCTTTAGAAGCCGACGTATCTGCATCTTGTTCTAAGCGAATATTTATACGACCAGCGGAATTTCTTACCTCTTTAATAGAAGAAATACAACATACTGAGTTATTTGAATGTTTTTTTTTATCATTTTCATCATCAGAAGTCTGACTCAATTCTACCGTATGTTCTGTGGTTGAATCCGTTATAAGGATAGTATCGTCAACATCAATATTTTTGTCAGATGCAGTGACATTATTAAGAACTTCAGAAGTGTCATCATGCGGTTTTAAAGTACTATTCATTATTTCTGGTGATAATTTTAATTTATTTATATTTTTTATGTTTGAAATGACTCCAGCTGTTTCAATTGGGATGAATTTTTCATCATTTTGGTATTTTTCTGAAAATTTTTCTAGATGACGTGATTCTTTTACATCAGTTGAAGTCTCAAATAAATTCACTTTCTTACATAAAGGCTCTAAAATTTCTACGATATCTTTTCCATTATAGAAAAGACTAACGTAAGTGGGATTTTCACCCAGAAATTTAGATTCTTTATATTCAAACATTGTTGCACCATCAGCTACAAGTTCTATAAATTTCTCACAAGCTTCTTGAGACCAGGTTTCAATATTTTCTGGTAATTTTAAAGAGCATAGTTTAGACAATGGAGGAATTTTAATGATATCTTCAGGCAATGCTTTAACTTCATTTGATATAGCAGAATTACCATAATCAATATATAAAACTTCGGTTCCATTGTCTCCGTGAGATAAAATTTTTGCTCTGTACCATCCTCCATCTTCTGGGAATTTAGCTGCACAAATCATACCTTCTTCTAAGCGTTTAAGAGTAAGAAAGCTCTCAGCATGTACAAGGTGAGTAGCCATTTTTTCAAGTTCTGCAATTTTGCGCTCTGCTTGAGTCCAAAATTCTGCTGGTGAGACAACATGGCTAACTACAATATTGGGAGAATTTTCTTGACCAAGTGGAGATAATCTTTTTTCAATCATAGGTACTTTTTTCTCACAGAAACTTTCTAGATACTTAGAAATATCATTCTCAATACCTTTTAACATTAATTTTACTGCATTTAATTCTGCTTCGACAACTGTCATAATAAATTCTGTATTTCCGTCGTTTGATAGCCTACAAAATTCTTCACAAGCTTCATCAGTCCATTGATCAATTCCCTCAGGTAAATATAATGAGCATTTTTTAGCTAAAGGTTGTATTATTGATAATTCTTTCGGTATTTTACGAATTTCCGTCGATACAGCTGTATTACCATAATCTACGTACATAACATTTGTTCCAGTATCTCCATGTGAAAGTACTTCAGCTCGATACCAGCAAGTATCTTCAGGAAATTCGGCAACACAAAGTTCTCCTTCTTTAACTTCTTCAACAAGTGGAAAATCTCTAGCATGAAGTAATTTTTGAGTCATAGTATCTAAATCATCTAATGAATCTTTTTCGTGGACCCAAAATTCATTCGGTGAACTAATGTGACTAACTAGAACGATTTTAAAATTATCGGAAGTAACTGGTTTACTTTTTTTACAAAATTTGACGAGGTGATTTACAATATCTTCACCATCGAGAGTAAGAGTAACCACAGATGTTTCACCTTCTTCTACAATGTCCATAATAAAAATGGTTGCTCCATCATTTGACATTTTAATGAACTCTTGACAAGCTTCTTCAGACCATTCTTTAATCCCATCAGGTAAGACTAATTTACATTTTCGAGACAGAGGAGGAATTATTGTTAAATCATCAGGAATTTCCCGAATTTCGGTCGATAACGCAGAATTTCCATAATCAACATACAAAACATTTGTACTCTCATTTTCATAAGAAATAGCTCGTGCACGATACCAAGAAGAATCTTCAGGATATTTAGCTACATATAAATTCCCAATTTCAACTTTGTCAACTTTGGGAAACATATCAGCCACTAAAAATCGATCTGCAATAAGTTCTAAATCTGCAACAGATCTCTCTTCTTGAACCCAAAATTCACTGGGAGAATTAATATGACTGATGAAGGCTGACTTGGGATCCAATTCTAAATCAACTAATTCATCAATTACGCTATCGTTTACACCAATTTTAGATGCCCAGCCTTCTTTTACTAACCATTCACTGATACATTCATCGCCACTATACAATTCCACTCGCTTAGGAACGTTATCAGCAATTAAAATTGCTTTCAAATCTAATGATGTAGTTATTTTTGATGTAAAAGCGGAACAAGCTTCTGGAGACCAGTCTTCAAAATCAATAGGAATCACATTTAAGCGGCATTTAACTGCATACCATGAAGTACATTTCATTGCACTGGGAAGATGTTTAATTTTATCCCCGTCTTCTGTTCTCATTACAGTGTCTGTATTTCCATAGTCTACAAAACGAACAGTTGCAATTTCTTCATCAGCATCAATTATTTCTGCTCTACACCACAATTGTTTTTCTGTATTAAACACAGCACATAATAATTTTTCTTCTGGTACCTCTGTCACTGGAGGATAAGTAGAAATTTCTTCTTGAAGTTTTGATGATAATTCATGAATTGCACTTAAATTTTTAATTCGTTGAATCCAAAATTCGGTAGGACTATCAATGTAAGAAAGAATTACTTTATATTCATTGCCAATTAATAAATCATCTGGTTCATTTGATTCTGTTGATTTTTCGACATGAGTATCAACAATTAATTCTTGAAAAGATGGATCTTCTTCAATTTTCGATCTAGGATTTACTCCTAATGTTGCAAACCACTTCTTATTTCTCTTATACAATGTTGCATAGAATTCTTTATTCAGTAAATGAGGATTGAGAAGTTCTTGCTGTTCTGCTTCATTACCACGAATTATATATTCAAGAGAAACTTCAATAGCTAGTTGAGATGGCTTGAAAAATTGAGTTTCCAGTTCTTTTAATGAGTTGAAAGGAATATTTTCAGTATTTCCATAATCTATGTATTGAATTAATGCTTTCGAATCAGTTTTTGAAACAACTCTTGCTCGATACCAATTTCCATCAGAGCTTAAAGCTGCACAGAGTTCATTTTCTTTTACATTTAATGGTTGGCCTGATGTTGAATAATAGTCATAAAGTTCACTAAGAAGATCTGCATCTGTATTTAAATCTACAAGTCGCTTTAGCCAAATACTTTCTCCATGATTAATGTGAGCGACACTTACACGATGAACTCCGTAGAAAATTGGCATAGGACACAGTGGACATATTTTTTCATCTTCTTGTTCTGGCGTGAATACGATTTTGTGACCTAATTCATCAAAAAGATCAACGACGAGTCTGAAATTTAATTTATTCATTAAATTATAATATATTTTTGTAAATCTAAATAATAAATAATATGTATAAAATTAAAATACATTTAACAAAAAATTAAATAAAAAAGTCAACTTACACATTTTTTTTAAGGCTATCAACACGAATGATAACTTCTTTATTCTCAATCATACTTTTCAATTGTTCATCAATTGTGACGGACGAAGTAACATTTTTCAAACAACATTCGACCGCTTGTTTCTGTATACTAGTAAGTTCTCCAGGAAGTGCTAACATCTAAATAAAAAAAAAATTTTTTAATATATTGACTATTCATTCATATAAATTTAACTGAATCACAACTACGTGATAACAAGTTTACTTTATTAACATTGTTATATTTGAACATGACTTGTCATTGAATGAGATTTCTGAATAAAATCGCAGTACTAATTATAATAGTTAAGTTAGTGATTCACATGATGTATGGCATTAGTTGTTTGTAATTTTAAAATTTTCATCAAGGTTTGAATGATATTCATAGCCGAGGACAAAAAAACTCACATTATTTAATGAAACTACTTCAGTTTCTCCAGTGTCAATGAATCTCACATCAAAGTCTGTTTTCCGTGAGCAATCTATCACTGTAGCTCGTCTCCAGCCTTTCTCGTTATGAATTAAACACCCTGTCCCGAGACAAACTTCTTCCGGCAATAGTTTCGGCATCACCTGATATTGCCGTTTTTATTTGTTAATCATTTACCATTATTGATTAGTTATGTCAAAAATGCAATTGAATACCAAAGAATAGCATAATACTTTGAGATTTAATCACTATGGTAACTAATTTTAATATTTTTAAACTAACAACAGATTTTAGTTATTTATAGAATATTAATCTATATTTTTTTAGAATTGTAGAAAATGAAACTAATTGATTAAAGTTATATTAATTGATTATTAATAGGTTTCTAATAACGTATAATTATAACTGTTGGTTAAAAATAATAGAAGATATTGAATGAACGGCTTTTCATTGTCTTAGTTTAATCTACATGTCTCAAGCAAATATTTAATAACAATGGAAGTTAATAATTACTTACTATTAATACCATACATCGTGCGATGCTGCATTACTTTGTTAACATTATGATCATGATTTTTATGAATATAAAGATGATTTCTTTTAAAATTCAATTGGATATTGAACTTTAGAATTATAATAAATAATTTTTTGACAGAAAAAACAAGAAATTGAAATCGTTAACAGAATCTATTATAATATTATTAATTATGTGAAAATTAATGTAAATTATTGTTTAAGTGATTACTCATTCCAAGGTTCAAATTAAACACAAAAAAGTAATGTGGCAGACTACATGCACACAATAAATTTTAATTATAAATAAGCATGTAAATAATTTCAGAGTAAAAATAACATAAAAATAAGAAATTTTGTTCCAACATGATTAACAAGTAATTGAACATTTTTTCTTCGCTAAATCGTCGAATAATTAACTCATAGAATTTTTTATTTTTTTTTTTTTGCAAAGAACAAAATCAACTTATATTTTATATTATGAAATAGACTTAAAAACATTTCAACTGCAAATTCTTACCTGATGATTTTGAGCTGCCATGAAATCTGAGATAAGTTTCTCATTTTCTAATACTGATGGCAATTGAATATAGAACTTTTGAACGCTTTCAATGTTCGACACTTTGACTCTCAGGGTTTGTTCTTTCAAATAACTGATGTCTACTTTCGTTAATTCTCCTTCAATATTTATATGACCTCCATCAATTTCCGGGACTAAAAATATATAAAAAAGGATTTAATTGTAATAAATGAAGAAAAAAAATTTAGACATTTATTCAAATAATTGAATAATATCATATCATAAGTGGAGAAATTTTTTTACTTCCTACTCTACATTTGTGTGGAATGGTAAACGAGTTTCTTTTTAAGATTGTCTTTTAAAGAATTTATGTAGGTTCTTGAATATTTAAATGTATAGTGGGTGTCATGAAATATGATTACTTTTACAAAAAAAAAATATATAAAAATAAAATAGACTAATGTTTCTATAGTTATTATTGAAAACCTCAACTAGTATATTTTAAAAATTTATATGAATATTAAGAGAGTATAATGCAAAATATGAATTCCATTTCAGAAACATACCTACTTCATCAATCGTTTCCAATTTATCAAATTCTACGCTGGCTATACACATATTTGAAAGATTGATGATAATTATTATGATTATTGTGATTACAAACACATGAATGACTTACCGTTACTGGGTTGGAAATTTTGGGATTTATCATAAGAAGACGTTTCATATGATGCAAGTCCTTTTTCTACCAGTATGCTTCCGATGTCGTCATCATTATTTTTTAAAGAAACGAGATATTTATCATTTTTTATTTCGAGAAAACTACATTGAAATTTCTCAATATTGAAAATATTATCAATTTCTTGAGCGTTAGCCTTATGCCAGTTATTTTCATCAGGAGGAATTATATTTTTCAATGAGCAGCAAACAGCTTGTTTGGGGAGATCCATGAATTTCTGCTCTACACGGAAAATTTCATGTGACTGAACCATCGCAGAGTTTCCATAATCTACAAATCGGACAACCGTTCTACCTGACTTAATATCTGTCACTTCTGCACGATAAAATGCACCATCTTCAACGAAGGTAGCAATAACTGAATTTCCTACTTGTAAAGTGTCAGTTACTGGTTGTCTGTTGCTATAAACGTTTTGAATTTCATTCATCATAGATCTAAAAGCCGTTTGATCTCTATAAACTTGGCAATAAAATAGATTGGGATCGGATAACCATGTAACTATTACATCTTCAGTCGTACCAACATTTATGGGAAGTTCAGACCATTTTTTATCCAGTGGTGCATAGTTAGGTGATGTTAGAGTTGAAGTTCTTTGTCGAACTGACTTGTTTCTACTTTTAGCTATCTCTTTAGCCTGAATTAAATCAACCCCTCCACTAAATTCTTCATTAATATAAAAATCTTGACAGTGATTATCAACTATTTCGCGAACAAGAATTTCATAAATGTTATTATCAAGTGCTACGAATTCTGCTTCAAGAGTTTTCATTTCCGTTAATGCAGTGAACTTTTCTATTTCACTGTTCTCCCAATTATTTTTCGAAGCACCAAGTAATTTAACGTGAATTGCTTGAGTTGGAAGTTTGATAAACTCCCTTTCGATTTCTTTAATTTTGTCAAAACTTACTAATTCAGTATTTCCATAATCTACAAATCTAACTGTAGCTCCATTTGTATCACATAATTCTTGAATTACAGCTCTATACCATTTCAAATCTTCAGAATACTGAGCAATGCAATTCATGCCAACTTTTGCATTAAATTCTGACACGTTTGTTCCACTGTTTTCATAGATTTCAGCTATTCTTGCCATCACTGAATCAAGATCTTTATTATCAGGAATAAGTTGAACGTAAAAGTCTGTTGGACTTGCTGAAAAAACGACTTCGCAATGTTTTACAGCTCCAGTAGTGATATTAGGTGGAGGAATTTGAAGTGATGTAAATGTACAATCATTTGCGGTTGATGAGTCACCAGTATTCCACGAATTGTCATTATTATTTTGATAACGATCGTTGTAATCATTTCTTTTATTATCGTTTCGATTATCTCCTCTAACTCGTGAACCTCCATTTTTATTAAAATCGCGATCATTTGAACGATTGTACTTAAAACCTCGATCATTGTCCCCATCACTATCACGTCCCTGAAATCGGGTACCATCTCGTCGACTACCTCCTGTTCCTCGACCACCTCGAGATGCTCCTCGACCAGAACCTCGTCTTCCTCGTTTACTGCTACTTCGCGATGATGCATTTGAATCTTTATCACTCCATGAATTTTCTCCTCCACTATTTCGATCAGATCTTCTGTTGTTTTCTGATGAATATCCTCTCCTTCCATTACTCTTATCTCTATAACGATTGTTTGGACTGTTTTCATTATCAAATCGGTTATTTGTATCATTTCGATCATTTCTATCATAACGTGAACCAGAATCTCTATTATATCTATCATTGCGTGAATTATCTCGATTAAATCTGTCTCCTGAAGAATTATTCCATTTTTGGTCGCGATTGTTATATCTTTTATCTTCATTTTCTGTATTTTTCCAATTTTTTATTTTCACTTCCTCGAAAGATGAATTTTCATAAGATGCTTCAGATGAATCATGTACTTTTTTTGCAGACCATTTGTCGGTTTCCTCACTATCGATAAATAAACAAAAATATTCAACATTACAATGTTGTAATAAATTAACAATAATTATTTTTGTGAATGTTTACGGAATGTTTATGACCATATGGCAGTAAAGCTTAGTGATGAAGTGACAATAAAACTGCTGGGAAATCATTGAAAAGATATTAGTATAATCTTTTTAATGATGTATTAATTAATGTTGAAAAGAAACTTCTTAATCCTTTTCAAGGTATGATATTGTAGTATTATGATGTTTAAATACCCATAACCCTTTAATTGTACCTTTATGCCCATTCAAGTGTCGGGGTACACATAGAACAGAGAATAATTTTTTTCATCTATTCAACTAAGTTTAATATTTACAAATAATTGAATACCAAAATATGCACGTGGTTTGTAAAAAGTTCTCAAACATTATAAACTAAAATACGCAATTTAATTGGTAATGTAATAAAACATTTGGTACAAAATTTGTTGAGATAATAATAAAATTAAAGTCAATATAATTGAAAATTTAGAATAGAATCAGTTAAAAGTCTGTAACACAGACTCTCAAAGTTTGTTTAGCATTCAAATCTTCATACTGAACGTTATAAACTTGAAAAAAACGGGCAAAAATTATAAAGTTATTAGACTGCACTTATTAACTGAAATTTTCAAGAAAATGTAAATTTTTACATAGAAGTATTTTTGGTTTCAAGAAGTAAACCATTTTATACGAAGATATGACATAGAAATTTCTATATTCATATAATTTTATAACTTAAAACTTGGAAATTCCGGAGTAAAGAATATTTCAATAACATTAAGAATATATAGTCTATGCGAATATTGTAACTAATAAACTGCCATTAAAATTTATCTCAAATAGGGGAATCGTCTTGTAACAAACAATCTAGTAATCATTTAATTATAGTTTACAGTATGAGTGCTACAACTAAAATAAATAAGCAATATAAAACATTCAACTACGTATGTGTACTGTTTTGGTAGCAAACAACTTCTGTTATATATGAATGGAGAAATAAACATTAAAGAATTTAATAAATATTTAAGTAATTATAATGGGCATTGAAGTAATTGCATTTAAAGCAAATATTAGAAGCTTCGGAAATGTTTTTTTTTGTAAAAATAAGCAAATAAATTTAATAATTAACATCTATTCAATACTTATAGCAATTACCGTATTTTTTTAACATTTGTCACTTTAGCTTTATGAAGATGATTCCTTAACAGTTGCGTTTTTACGCCAGACCTGAATTTGTAAATATTAATTCTATATTAAACATTGCTTATCAGTAAAAAACATTCATGATTAGAATTATATGTCCTATTTTTTCTTTTTATAATTGAATATTTTTAAATAGTTTTTCGAAATTCCCATTATCTATATCTAAGTTGATAATGAGTACAATGATTGATTTAAGAATATATACATTTTAATCGAAGGCTATTTAAATAAATCGAAAATAGATAAAATTGTTATGCAAATCTATACTTTTTCAACAAAAAAAAAAAAAATATTAATACGTGTTTAATCAACAATATCCTATTAGCTGCTATATTGAACATCTAATGAATAAAGTTATATATCTTATATCAACATAGCATTTTATCTAATAATTTTACGTATACAAGGTAATACTCTATTGTAATAACTCTTGTACTAAAAAAGCAGAAAAAATACAACTAAAAGCATGCAACAATACCTTTTTCCTTGAAGATTTTTAGATGAAATATCGCTTTCTTGATTTTGCCAATGAGTTATCGGTTGCTGGACGTTAGGCTCGTTTTGGTTTTGCAACATCTTTGAGACACTTACAATCGGTTTTGTATTAATGTCATACAAATCCACGATAATTGCAGATGGCCGTTCTTCTATCACACTCATTACAAAAGGCTTGTCTAGTACACATGCCTCGAATTTTTCATGAAGTTCAGAATTCAAAGGTTCTGACTCAAAGCCATTCAGAATGCACTGAATGGCCAGAATCGGTATTTTTGTAACGTTGTCGTCTCGGATCGATCGGATAGCATTACTTGGAATCGTTTCATCGTTACCATAATCAACGTAATGAACGGTAACTTGATTTTCGATTACTTGAATAACTTCAGCTCGATACCTAATCAACAATACATAAATAAGTATTATTAGTTTTCATTCATATCATTTACTCATTTATACATTGGATAATTTTATAAATCATAGATAAGTTTTAAAATTATCAATTTACCATTGTGAATCTACACCACAATGAGCGAGACACTTTAATCCTGGTTTGACATGGGCCGGTTTTATTGGTGGTGCAATTTTCACGCATCTCGTTAGCAGAGTAGACAAAGACTCTCGTTCTATCACATTTTTATCAAGTTGTACAAAGAACTTGTTGCAAGCTTCACTATAAGATACGTGAACATTTTCTCGAGAGCCAGTAGGTAATCGAGGAGGATCCGGAAATTTAATTGCTGAATCAGGGAAATTTTCTCGAAGCAAATCTAGCACACTTTTATCATCAAGATACAAATTTCCATAATGCATTAATGGTGAATCCTCAACAGGCATGACTTTAAGTGTTAGAGACTTTCCAAGGACGAGTTCTTTAAAATACTCTTTCATTTCTTTTGTGACAGTTAAATCTCTTACTCCACTTAAAATAAATCTGACTGACAATAACGGAGGGTTGGCGTATTGAGGCGGTATTTCATAAATATCTGTATGTCCTAAGGTTTCTTGATTCCCAAAATCCACATAAAAAACTTTAGCTTGGAGAGTGTCGTTGACTGCAGAGACCACTGCACGGCGTAGTCTTTTATCTTGTGAAAAACGTCCCAGACATGCAGAGCTTGGAATTGGTGGCTCCGAGAGAGGTTTTAGAGGAAGACTATTAATACTTTTCATTAAAGTCTCCAATTCTTGAGCACAGCTTTCCAGCTGTACACTAAATTTCAAAGGGCCATCATCAACGTCAGATACAACAACTTTGTGGATAGAACCTTTTTCCAGAGTCCTGGACTTAAATGCTGGAATATCTTGTGATCGAGGAGATATTGCAGGCGGGGGCCTCATTGAAATCTTTTGTTGAGGTTTACGCCAATTCTCAGGATGACTCTCAATTTTAGGTGGTGCAACTAGTTTAGCTGGCCGATTTTTCGGAATATAATTATTGTTCGTATGAAGTTCAGGAGGAATATCATGAGGTTGCTGTCGAGACGACATTGATACTGTTGATTGATTCATAGCTAAATTGTTGACTAGTCTGTAAGAATAATTGTACAAGTATTTATTCAAATTCATTCAAAATGTATATACTAGAATAAGATCATTACGGAGTTACCAATATGATAATTTAAAAAAAAATTACCTGAATGACTGAACGTGTTCGAAAGGCGCTGGTAAGGCCATTTGATTCTGAGTTAAATACTCAGAAAAATCTATTCCATTAAAATACAGGGTAAATATCTGTCTATTACCGTATGTAGTAACTACAACTGGATGCTCATTGTATCTCAAAATATTCTTTACGTGTTCAACAATACAGCGGCTCCATACATTATTAAACGGTACAACTTTTGTCAGTGGAAATTCGAAAGCAATTGGTGGAAGTATTTGCAGCTTTAATCCAATATTGTGACACTCTAGCAATCTAATTTGAGTTCGATGTACGACTTCAAAATTTCCGTAATCAATAAATTGTACAAAAACATTAGAATCAGGATGAACTTTGATGATTTTTGCGCGATAATAATTATCTTCATGAAAAGCACAGCATATGGTATTAGGTATTAATACAGTTTGATTTGTAACACAACCTATGTCTTTATCAAAAATATCTTTCAGCATTAAGATAAGAGATTCAATCTGTCGTGAACCTTCTCTATCGAATTGACCACAAATATTTAAATATGGTCCATTATCATAAACGTGTGTAACAAAAAATGCACGTTCCACGTTTTGATTCACGTTCGTCATTTTTTAATCGTTAGTTTATATGCCAGTTGATAAAAAAATTTATTGCTTTAACTTTACTTCTTGGTTAACCAATAAGTGACAACATGAATCGCTGAAAGAAATAATTAATTGAATGAAATGGATTTACAGTAATGTTTAATGAATAATTGAATTTAATGTTATATAAAATCATTCACTGATTTTGAATAATAAGTATAATCGAAAAATATAAACAAATAACGACGTAAAAATGAGAAAAAAATGAGTTTAATAAAAGAATGTAATTTGGAGAAATTATTTGAAGCGAAAATATTTAAAAACAATTAATGAAATGCTCAATAACATAGTTAAATGATATGAAATCAACAAATAGAAAGTGAGAATGAAACGTGAATAAGTTGATGTCTAAACTAATAAAGTCATTAATTAATTAACTCAGCTCTAGCCAATTGAACAGCCCAATAATTGGACTCAAAATACTTTAAATATATTAAATTAAAACATACCTATTTTAATCACTTGTAATCAATGATTAAACGGTGCAGCGTTATAAAACGCGCGGATTATTTGCGAATATGTCGGCTGTTTTCAATGAAAGTATGGTTCTGTTCCTTAGCACTGAGCCACTAATTTATCTTAAAGTACGCACTAATAAATACTGAAATGAATTCTCACTATTTCGTACTTAAATTTTGAATAGCTTAAATCGTTGTCACGGCCTTATATGCACTTTTTTAAGTTGTAGGTCACTCTGTCTCTACTTTTCATCTAACGGACTCAAACGATATTTTAGCGTCCATTGTTTTACAAAGAATGAAGAATAGTGATGGAATGCTATGACGAATGATGTGAGCAAGTGGAACGTGTATCGAAAACTTGGCGAGCTCTGCAGTAATAGAAATAAGTGGGGGTATGTGTTTTGATTTCGGAACGATCGTAGCGCTGATTTCTAAGAAATATGAAAGAAATTTCTCGCGCCAACTGTTTTGATTTGTAAGATAGAAACAAAATACATAAGAGATTGAATGGAATTATCTACGTCTCATTTATACATATTCGATAAAGTTCAAAGAAGTCTGGAGTGTGTAAAGATTGTACAGACAGTTTGGATAATTTTAGTCTCTGAAATTTTGATATTGATAAAAGTAAATAAATATATGTAATCACCACATTAAGAATTTTATCAAAAATAAACATAAAAACAGATCAAATTTGAATTTTTTGATGTTTAGTAAATAATCATTTGAATTAAACTAGTAATTTGAATGAGATGTACTTTCAGTATCTCATACCATCGTAGAAAAAATGTAAATATTAAGTTATATCATAAAACAAAGAAATTGTTTACACTGATGACAATAATAAAAATTTCACATTCTTCTACAAAAGATGTATTTATTATTACAATTCAATATAATTTTTAAGATATTGTCTTTAAGAACCTTTACAATCGTTATTAGAAAATTTTCAATATTAATGTATAACAGAAAAATAAATTAAACTATATCATCGAAAAAATAATACTTAACGTTTCATAAATATTTTTATTTCAAATTCCAGTTTTGAAAATTATTTTAATATCATACTCTTTATAAAATATGTAATGATAATGCATTAATAATAATATGTATTTTAATACTTCCTCGAGGAATATTTCACTGTTTAAATAGTAGTTATTGACACTGTTTCTTCTATGAGCTTTTCTGATAGTTACTCATGAGATATTTGATATTAATAATCGTTTGATTATTAAATTTACTTTGCTCTTAGTACATATATTGTACTATAACATATTTTCAAATCAGTTGTATTTTCTTTTTTTTATATATATCATTATTGTTGAGTAAATTCACCAAAAATAACAATTTTTGAGTCCATAAACACATTCATTGCTATTATAATTTGAACAAAATATTATTAATACACAAAAAAATATAATAAAAAGAAGTAACTCAAATGAAAATATTTTCATATTTCCCACTAAACAGAATATTGAACTTTTTAATTATTATTCAATTTCCGCGTATGCAAATGAAAACTATAAAAATGTATGCATAAAAAAAGTAATATGAACAAATTAACAAAAAAATACCTAATTAATCAAAACCTCTTGAACTCCAAATGAAAAATGTTGTACATTCATGCCCGTTTCCTGATTGGTTTGACATAGGGATGGATCTTGATGATGATCTTAGTGCTCTTCATCGGACGTATGTGTACCGTTGGATTGTTGGAGCCACAGCAAGGATGTAGAATGATGATCTGAAAATGACCCGTCGTTGTTTGGTTCTTCAACTTCATTATCATTACTAAGTGAAAAATGTCCTCTTAGCATCAAGGATCTCATTTGTTCTAAAACCTGGTGTAAAGAGTCTGTTCGTTGATCCTGCCGGTCGGTCGAAGGAGTTGCGTCACCACTGGCATTACTCGCTGGAGTTTGAGGCGTGTTACTTGGTGGTACGGGGGTACTGGTTCCATCTCCAGTACCTAAAAATTATGATATTATCATTATTAATAAGATTGATTAATACAATAAAATTGAGAACATTTTAAAAAAGTTGTACCGAGAGAATCACTTGCAGGACTTGTTGGCCTTTCAGCTCCTCTTATTTCACGAAAAACAGGTTCTTCTTCCTGAGAATTGAATCTTAATCCAGCAATACCTTTTTTAGGTACATTAGCAAGATCTCTCTTGATTCTTCGATGCCGTGATGGATCATTTCTACGTAACTGAAGCATAGATCCAAAGTCAGCAATATATAAAAATCCTGCTATAAGTAGCTCACAAGTTCTCCTTCCTTGCTTGTAAGCTGTTTCAAGTTCCAAACTTGTCCTTGGATCATATTGCCACCAGCCTGGAACAATTTTTCTTATATTTTAAGGCTGTTGAGGTTTTTACATAAAAAAAGATAAATATTGATTGTTTTTTTCTTTATTTCATCAAAATAAATTTAAATATTTTTAATTTTCCAACTCTATTATTTATAAAATAGTCAAAATAAGACATAATAAAACATCGTAAAAAATTTTCTCTTGCATTATAATTGTTGATCTTAAAAATAGAATTTTAGAATTTCCGCCTTTATCATCGAACACCAGCTACGCCTTTACAAGGAGAATGTTTGATGTCACGTTTAATTTTACGTTTCCGAAATGGTTCTGATTTTTTGTACTGTTGTAATTTACTGAAATCGATAACATAAATTTCGCCACATATTAGAATTTCACAATCAGTCTCTCCCACACTGTAAAGCGCTTCCAGATCACTGTTGGTTCTAGGGTCATATTTCCACCAACCTAAAGATGGTACAATATAAAAATTTACACAAAAAAATAGCTCAACTACTTGTGGAAATTTAGAATTCTCATCATAGATATATAATTTTTCATAGGTCAATATTACATGTGATCAAAGATTCTTATTTTTTTGATTACGATTTTATTATTTAGAATGAAATATACTCTTACCATTTCTTCCTTCATAAAACCATTGATATTCCTCTTCAGTATTAATTTGTTTTATTTCGTCAATGTCAACAAGATTGGGCTTTTCAATAAAATCAGTTGGTATTTCTTGTCGGCACATTGGACATCTTTTACTTTGATTTGCAACTCCTTTGATGCAAAGATAACAAAATACATGATTGCAAGGCAACTTTGCTGGATGTATATATGCTTGTAGACACACAGCACATTCAACAGTTGAAGATATGCCTGAGAAACAAATAGATTTTTGTTAATACTAATACTAGAGGCTTTTCAAATAGTGATTTTATGATTAAATTAACATTTGGTTTCTCATTATTTGTTTTATATTCGTAAATAAAATTTACAATTAATAATATAATTACCTGACTTGTCATCTTTTTCTCCTTCCAATTTTTCTGGAAGTTGTACCGTTGATTGAGCCATTTCTTATGTTTTTCTTTTGAAAAACTTTTTGAATAATATATTGAGCATGCAAGTAAACAAAAGATAGTAGAAGCAGTGAATAACACGTTTAGAATTGGTCACACTCGTCAGCCATTTATTTTAAACTGCGTTGTTCATTTTTGTGATTTCGTTCAAGTTTTTATAATGCATTTTATTGTATTACATAACATAACATAACACATTTTAAACAATAATCTTCGCTTCAGAAACAATATAATTTTTATACATGCAATATTTAATTGAAATATTTAGTACAACTTTTGAAGCAATGAAAAACCGTTTATACGATTATCCTAGAATATACAAAGAATGTATAAAGATAAATAGAGGGTTATACACTTACGCAAAACATGTATTTCATACGAACCGATGATAAGTGGCGCTAGTGCTATTTTCTTTGATCTTTTGTCTTTTTTTCTTATCAGTTGTCGATATTACTATTGTTGTCAATGACAAAAAGCTCGAACCCATAAAAGTTTTTTCCCCCTATTGTAATTAGACTAAAAATAATTTTTTTTTAACAAATATTTATTTATTATGAATTGAATTTGATTATAATTACTTGATACACTGACAGAAAAAATGTGATAGCTAGAAAGTATACTAGCGGCAAACACAAAATATACTCAATTTGAGTATAATTATTTTTTGATGCAAGTACATTTTATATCAAAATGAAGTTTAAAGTGTACTGTACAATCATAATAACATTAACTTGATTTTAAATTTTTCATCACTCAATCCTAATATAATATTAATTTATACCAAGAATAGCGATTACTGCATTTTTGTAAATATTTTGCTTATCTCAAGTAGGTAGATAATAAAAGAAGATTACAAAGTTTACTTCAGTTGATAATATAGTTTTCTTACACTGAGGATCTTCCTTACTTACCACAAGTGTATTTTATACGGAGATCCCGTATAAAGCGTACTTATGCTAAGTATAATGCTGTTTTACACTTCAAAAACCATGTTCTCACATTATGAATCCTTTTTTATTAATAAGAAAATACTTGTTACTTGATTCAAGTATGTCAATTCTTCACTGCAAGTATATTATATACTTAAATTAAGTATACGAAGTACTCATGCTAAAATTTTTTTCTTATTAAATTTAAAAATTTCAAAATATAAATAATCATATTAATAATAAAAAAGTTACTGTTATACCCATTGGTATTGGTCAATTTAAATTAGTGACCATTACTGATGAAGTAATTTAATGATTAAATATTCAGTAATTAATAAATAGATGAAAAGTAATCTTATAATAATTACAACAATTACTGTTGTACTTTTAAATACGTGGAGCTGCTACACTTACACTGGGCCTGTTAAAAGTCTAACTCGTAATATAGCGCTCAGAGATAAATTATTGATTATAGAATCTTTAATAATAATTAATAATTAATTGCATGTCTATTAATTAATTCTAAAAATGAATCGAAATTTTACAGTGATTGGAACGATTATTGTGGTACATTTCAATACCTCAAGCTGCTGCAGTAAGACATGTTAGGAGCTTTAGGAGTTTATCTTTCAATCCAGCGTTCAGCTATAAATGGCTTAATGTTAAATCTTTAATAATCATAATAAAATTATTTAATGTTCATTGATTAATTTAGAGAAAGAATCATAATTGAATGATAATAACAACAAATTGGTGTTGTGCTTTTAAAAACTCCAAGTTGCTCCAGTTAGACTATGCCTGTAGAGTGTTTATTTTCCAACTTAGCGCTCAGAAATAAATTATTCGATATAATACCTTTGATGATGATAAATAAATGATTGATTGTATAATTATTAATTCATAGAGATAATCATAATTTTTTCATAAGTGCAACAAATATTGTTGCATATTTCAATATCTCGAGCTGCTGCCCAGTGTAAGTGTAGCAGCTCCACGTATTTAAAAGTACAACAGTAATTGTTGTAATTATTATAAGATTACTTTTCATCTATTTATTAATTACTGAATATTTAATCATTAAATTACTTCATCAGTAATGGTCACTAATTTAAATTGACCAATACCAATGGGTATAACAGTAACTTTTTTATTATTAATATGATTATTTATATTTTGAAATTTTTAAATTTAATAAGAAAAAAATTTTAGCATGAGTACTTCGTATACTTAATTTAAGTATATAATATACTTGCAGTGAAGAATTGACATACTTGAATCAAGTAACAAGTATTTTCTTATTAATAAAAAAGGATTCATAATGTGAGAACATGGTTTTTGAAGTGTAAAACAGCATTATACTTAGCATAAGTACGCTTTATACGGGATCTCCGTATAAAATACACTTGTGGTAAGTAAGGAAGATCCTCAGTGTAAGAAAACTATATTATCAACTGAAGTAAACTTTGTAATCTTCTTTTATTATCTACCTACTTGAGATAAACAAAATACATTGGCTCACATTATACTGATTCCAAGTAGAAAGACTACTTAAATACAAGTACTTTATTTTCATAAAACTTGTATACTTATTACTTCTTCAACCGCTTGTAGTCTACTCAGGAGTGGTATATTCTGTATTTAGACTCAGTATTTTTTTTATTCATTTTAAAACGAAGTTTTACTGATTCCAGGTACTTTCTTTACCTGCCTTCCGAAACTTTTTTACCTATCACTTTTATACTGGGGACAAGTAAATTCTATAATTCGCCACCGGAAAAAATTTCTGTCAGTGTAGATCTGATTTAGAGAAAAATTCGAGTCTACTTCATATATCAGAGGTCGTTGTCCATCAATTCTTCTTTTTTTATTATCATACAAATTTCTAAAATAACCTTACCTTTGCGTCCTTGAAATTCAAAGATTTTATACAGTTAGCGTGGGTCAGCCGCCAAATTCCTAAAGCTCGTAGAATTTTTACACCATTCAACACAGTATTTGCTCATTAAGTTCGATCTTAAATTTAGAGACGTTATTTTCTCAAGTTTGTGCTGAATGGCTTTATCAATAAGTTGTGAGACTTCGTAATTATTCATTTTTCAATCACATCTACATTTTACAATCGTAAACAAGTGCATAGATTATATTATTATGATATTTGTTTCATAGAACTTGAATTTAATTGACAAATTACTAACAATTAGTGCAATGGAAGTTTATACATTTGACAAAAGTTTACAAGAACGGCTTGTGGAGTTTACGGCAATCCTCTCTGGTCAAGGAACAATTGTACCGGCATCACAAATCAAGTCAGAGTGGTCTTATCATGTCGAATTAGTAATCGAACCAGTGGGTTGGCAAGCTCTTTGGAAAATTCCCAGATTAACTTGTCAAGACTTGGAGATTCATTACCCAACAATTGTTGTAGTCCAAGCAGAACAAGTTGATTTTGTAGAATTATCTGCATTAGTTAAGATTGTTGCAGTTCAGGATGAAATTCACTTACCTGAAAAGTATGATGTACCTTTAATCGAACTATATCCCACAAAAAACCAAACTAATGATGTACTAGACATGGTTGGAACGTCTAATTGTATTGATCAACTTCGATTTTTTTATAATCACCTTTGGATGCCATGGGACTTTGATGACGATGATAATACTGATTGGGTGACTCTCCATCTAGAGCCCAGATTGAGATTATTTTTTGAGATCAAAAGAAATATGGTTAATAAAGAGACTGCTGACATTATCAGAACTTTAGTTCGGGAAGGAAAAAATATTCATGCAAGAATATCACGATTAGAAGCTGATATTTCCGATAAAGAAGAGGAAGAAGAAACAAAGTGTTTAGTAGATGAAGGAAAAACGTGTCAGCTTATGAAACTTCATCTACGACTCCAACAAATTAAAACTGAAATGGAAGTCTTAGAAAATCCTGATATGAGAAAGATGCTTCAACGAAATCCTGGTTCTATTAATCCTAGTATTGATGCAAAAAGAAGAGAAAGTCGAGGAAGAAAATCTGAAGCTTACTTTGTGTGGCATGGTAGCTCTTTGGAAAATACAATAGAATGCTTAAATAAAGTTCAATCATTTTTGTCAAAAGATATCTTCATCAAGTACGTATATTTGATAAATATTTGTTCGTTCATAAAAATTGTTAATATTACCATAGTTATTGATTTTATTATTATTTTCAGAACTGCTGGTCATATGCAAGAAGCACTCGATGCTTCAGAAGCAGGAGATAATATAATTATAGGTGAAGGAGAGCATCAAATTAAGGGTGCAGGTGGTTTAGAAGACGGAGGTATTATTCGAGGTATTTGTGATTACAAAAAAACTATTCTTTGCGCCAAAGACAATATTAGTGCTCCTTCACTGTTGGACTTTTCTGGAGAGCAGGTTTTTACTTTAACTAATAATTTGTATCTTATCGTGATTCACGTATGTAATATAACTTTTATGTATTTGTCATAATCATAAACATTTATTAATAGGTTCTCTTGGAAAATGTTACTGTTGATCTTGGCGAACTTCAGGCTGGAATTTTAGTTCGCAAAGGATTAGTTAAACTAAATAAGTGTCAAATATTGGCATCAAATCAAAGTGTAATCAAACTAGGAATAGTTGTGTTATCTGGAAGCAAACTAATTGCTGAAAATACAACATTCATAGGACTTGGAACAGCTATTGTTGTTCATGTATCTGGCGAGGCTGTTTTGAAAGATTGTAAATTTGGAGCATGTACTGAAGGAATGGAGGTCTGTATAGAAAACAGAAACAAAAATTCAATACATTTTTTCATTAATAAATTATTCTTTAAATATAGATTCAAGAAGGAGCACAAGTACATGCATCCAATTGCTTTGTGTCAGACTGCAAAGAATATGGCATACGGTTCGAAACCCAAAAATATCTCTCTAGTTCTGAAGGAAAGGTTGGTGGCGTTGAACTCTTGGAGAATATTTCAGAAATATCCCTGGAAGGATGTACGTTTAAAAATAATAAAAAAGGAGACATTACTTTTAAACCACAGTTGGTTAGTAAGTTACCTAAACAAGATACTCCAATGGAAATAGTTTCTTGAACAAAATATAATATTTAATTATCCGAATACCATTACTTAAAAACAGTATTTTGAATCTTTCATAATAATAATCAATTAAATTCATTTTAACGTTTACAAAGCGAGAAGAAATCTCTACGAATCCATTTTTTTAAAACAGATAAGATTTAATATTCCATATTATATGATAATCCTCATATAGAAAATATATTACGAATAATTAAATATTAACAACAATAACGAGATACAATTCTAATCACTAATAAATAAATAGACATTTTCATGTCATTATTTTTACATTTTTAGCTATCTGAAAAAATATGCTGTTATATGTTTATGTACTATTAATTTGTCTTATTGTTTATTTATTATTTAAAGAAATTAACCAAGATTAAAGAATAAAATGTTGAATTAAATACATTTTTACTTACAATAATTTATTTACTGAAATTTGATTCAAATTGTGTTGATTCTGTAATGAACTTATAGATGGCGCGTCCGACCCTAAAAAGAGCGGGCTGATTCGTTTAATAAACAACGTCTCCATGTGCATTTTTGAGCCGGTTGTGTTCTTATTCTGTAAGTTTTGAAAAAGCTTAATTAATGTTCAATGTAATTAACTATGTAAATTGTATTTTTGTTGCTTTCATTCACTTTTCAGTAAAATATTATGAGTTTTAGTTTTTAAGAATCTGTGTTGGATTCATTGTAAATATCACTACTATTTTTATTTGTACAACATAACCTGAAAAATTTAAAGGAACAATTATTCTAAAATTTTACCTCAATAGCACTATTACAGCATTAATAAGTTATCTAACAAATCTTTCTTTGGTCATTCATAGAATATTTATGATTTGGTACATGAGTCATAGTAACAGTAAGTAAGTATCAACTTCTATGAATGATTTGTAATAATACTGTTGTATTGATGCTACAAACAAATATCAAATACATTACTACCATCTCAATTTTCAATTAGCTCTACCACTTGTACTATCTTTATATAAAACACATGTCTTAATTAAAATTAAATAAAATATAATCTATTAACGATATCTATATGAATGATTGCTCTGCAACGTTTAATTCAAAGAATATACGTACACACATATCCGTCTGTTATGAAATAAAAATATCGTTCAGAGCTAATATTGAGCATCTGTATCTTACTTATCATGATGAATATTCTTCAAACTTCTGCTAATGTTATCTACAAATAAATCTGAACTTCCGGTAATTAAAGCTGTAAAAAAATCTTTTCTAAGTTGATAATAAGCTAAGTATAATTTATTGTTTTTTTATAAATAGAATGATATATGTATATTCTAATATCTGTTTTGCTGCATGTTAATCCAATATTTTACATTAATAATCTTAAAAAATCCTAGAGGATTAAGGTATTTATGTTTAATTTATAGAAATCGGATTAGGTAGAAGTTGAATTTTCAGTATAATAATTTTTCGGTTAGTTATTTAATTTTTACATGGAAAAATCTTTCAAAAAACTAATTTAATTATTTTGATACTAGTATTTCACAATCTATTGAAATAAAAGTTTGATATTGATAGAATGAGTAGAAATTTAATAATAAACTTCAGTAAAAAGTTATGACTAGAAATTTTTGATAAAATTCAATTACATTGATGTAGACGAGGTTTCCGTTACTTTAAAGAAAAAATTGAAATTTTTAGCTATCATAAATCGTAGATAGTTTAATGCTCAAGTTACCTAAAACAGTAAAGTTGTTACTTAAGGAGCTAAAGCATTCAAGATTATTATTAAAAAATCATTCGAATGATCATTCTTTATTTATTCTTCGTTCTAACAATTTTACCATAAAAGTATGTGGGTCATGTGTGCCAACATACAGTAACGTTAACATCCCTCGTTTGTGCCATTCTAAAAAACCGTAAAATTGTAGTTGTTTTGTCGTATCGTTCCAGATCACAATAGCAAAGTGTACCTGTGAGCATTGCTAGCTGGTTGTTGCAGAGTAAGTTAAGAACAGCATCAAAAAAATAGTAACGTGCAGTAACATCAACGCTTGGTGTCTAACAAATTATTGAAAATCCGTAGAGACTTGTACAGACCATTAAATAAATTTCGTGAGATGGTTGAAACCACAGAAGCATCAATGACTACTCCTAAGTCGGTTGACCAACAAACACAATTTGGTAATAATAGGGAACTGGAACCGACAGATTCCATTTTTGTCTTCAAGAAATCATATTCTGATTATGAAGAGCCATCATCTGAAGAAGAAGAGGTGGTAAGTTTTTAAATTTGTTTATCAAATACTACACAATTAAAACAATTTTTTATCAATTCAACGTTTAAACTACATTTAAAGTTTTTAATAATACAGAGAACAGAAAAAATTTTAAAACAAATATTTTATAATGGTTCAAGAAGTTGATGACAACAATTTCATTCTATCGTTAACACATCATTTTTTCAACTTTTAAACAGTAAAAATAATCTTAAAGCATAATTAAAATTTTCTCTTATGAAAATATATTAAACTAACACGTGGAGAATTTATACGTTACGTTAATTACCCTTGAGAGATAGTAGTATTTTTAGAGGATTATATATAGCTTGACAGATTGATATTGAGTGTTCTCTAAATGTGTCAAGCGTGTCTTCTTGATTTTAGGTTAAAATGGCATTGAAATGATGAGTAGTAAATGATGAAAAAGGAACGAAGAAGATCAGATACCAAAATGGTATAACAATACTGAGAGAATATTTTCAGTCCTAAAATAAATACATTTTAGGTTCTTTTTTCAAGAATTGGTAATCAATCACTCTAGAGCATGTAGGGGGTATAATACACATTGGTACATATGCACATGTTGTAAATAATCAAATGTGGTCAAAGTTCTTGAAATTTTTACTTAAAGATCTTGGCTTTCCATGTTTTTGCGTTTCATATATGACACCAAAATTCAATTCCATTTCCGTTTATCGTGGATGAGTTGTTTTTTCGATCTTTCTTTTATGCTCAGCAGTACTTTACGAGATTTACGTTGTGCATTTAGATAATTCAAACATGTTCATTCGATAAAAAAAATATATTATCCTGGAGATCAAGATTTGTTTGAATCAAGATAATTTGAATACGAGGCAAAAACATTCAAAGCAAAATTTATATAGATTTTCAAAATGCCCTTTTCAATTGTACAATATTTAAAAACACTTTTCTGATAGAATCGTGTTTTTCAATTTTAATTTAAAACTCATTTCATCATTATTGATTATACTATTTCTTTGTAAAATAATGCAGAATTTTCATATCTAATTTATAAGATTAAAGAGTCAAGTGGACTCTTGAAAATGTTTATTCAAAATCTAAAACTTTCTTGCCATGAAATTTAAAATTCTTTAAAAGATTTTTAAATATTCATCATGTCTACGACATTTAAGTTTTTATTAATTAAAATTTTTATTTTATGTTGTGAAATGAAATTAGATTTATAATTTTTTTAATAATAAATAATCAATCAGATTGTTTTTCAATGTTCTTGATGATGTTTTGAATAAATTCATCGAAAGCAGCATTTCTAGGATTGTAAATATTTAATGAAATCCATAGAAGTGAATTTTTACTTGAGCAACAACGAAGTTTACTGAGAAAATTTTCTTTTGAAATTTAAGAGGTGTCGTGTCCTTTCTACAAGACTAGTAAATATTTTTCGCATTTCTGAAAATCAGATTTACTCGATTTAAAGTCCATTGGTGAATCCAGTATTTCTTTGTACTCGAGGGAATGTCGTTTCCTCTCATTTAGTTTTTTATTCATTTTTTTTTACTTTTCCTGATTTTTTTCTTGCTTTTTCTCTTGTTGAACCTAGTGAATTTTCTACCTCGAGGCGCGCTTTAGGGCCAGGACTTTATTGCGCATTCTGCGAAGAGGTTTAGCTCCTTCAAGGTACCTTTAGTCGAGTAGGTCTACAGAAGAATTACGAGTTGTGCGAGTCTTGCTTTCGAAATAGCCTTTATATATTTATGTTGTTCCTTACATAATTCTCTTATTCTAACAATCAAAATATTCATTACGGTTATTCAATTGACATGAACTTCTTTTGAAGTTCGAAGCTTTGCTGTTCAGTCTCAGACATTTTTCATATTTTTTAAGCTTACTTAACCAAATTTATAAAGGTCTATAATTCTATTTTCCTTCTATTGAAAGAGGAACAAATAAAAATTTTCCTATAAATTTAGTAAAAAATTCTTTTTAGAATATAGCGTTTTACTCATCTGTGAAAAATAAGATGGTGAATCTTTCGACTTGTCTACTACTTATATAAATCATTTATTGGTTTTATTGCCTATAAAGTGACTGAATTTAGGCTTTTGGCGTGGACGTGTCTGAGACGCGTTAAAGTTACAAGAATAAACGATTTTAATAGTTTTGCTAATAAATTATCTTTACTATCATCATAACTCTTTGGAGATTAGTCACATAAATATTGAAGCTGTTGAAAAAGTTTTTTTTATTTTAATCCTGAACAAGGTAGTTTCTATCAGTGCATTAAATTTTATCTAATAATCTATAAAATTACATGTTTCACTAACACAATCAAAGTTATTGATGTTGCTCATGAATTAAATAATTATGACAAGTTTATATATTTATAGAATTTATTTTTAAGAATGTCATAAATTCCAAAATATAAAATAATAGGCTTTGAATTTTTTTCAAATAAAAGTTGTATTTTTTTTCATTAGGGATTTCTTTTTTTTTATTATTTGTTTATTTTTTTAGATTTCAGTATCCGTTATATAATTGTATTTTGACGTCGAATGAATTTGAACTATTATCTGGATATTTCAGAGGAAATTAAATGAAACTATTTTATTTTCTCTCTGACGTAGAAAGAAATTCTTTCGTCAGTCCAATTTGTATCATCGTATGGGATATAGTGTCGAATGAAGTATCTATATTTGTACTTGTTGGGCCACCAAGATTGTTGGAGCAGGTGTTGGAGTAGACTTTTCCCTTTATCCTCTTTTCTTTTTCGAATCTTTATTCACAATATTTACATTTTTTCGCTCGTCAAATAAAAAACTATTGTTGTTGGCTATTGTATTTTTTTTTCTTCTTTATTTTATTTAGATCCTTTATAGTATCAATTATTTTTATAGATTACAAATAAATGTTAATTTGTTAAGTTTTTATTTTAATTTTATTATAAGAAGAAATATCATTAACTTGAAATTGGTCTATCTCAGTACTATCTTGTATGTTGTATTGTATGTTATAGAATTACTCTATATTTATTATTATATCTATCATTATTATTATTGTTATAATGTTATTATTATGATTGATTGTAATATTTTATACTTGTCAAAGGATTCCACACATAATCAAGAGATTACTCTATCATCTGCGATTGACGTAAAAGCTAGATTGTACCGTCTATAGATGAAATTTCTCAATACCTTTAATACAATTTGATCTACTATGTTCAATGTCTGTGACGTAATTTACAAAAATATTTTCTTCAATAATATTGATTAAAAATAAATATTCGTTATTTTTGTGTTTTGAGTCCAATATAAACATGTAATATTTAATTTTTATTTTTATAATTCTAGATGTAAAATACTGAAAAGTTTATATAAACATTTTATCAATATTGTGAAGTTATAATAGTAATTTAAGTATTCATCTTATTAAATATTCATTTCCAAAATATAATTATTCTAATGTTTATATTGCCAATTATTCCAAAGGCTAATTAATAATGCATTATGGAATAAATCGAAATGCTAAACTTTACTTATCTAATACCTCTGATGAGGTATTAATAATAGATTAATCAGCACTAGTATAAATGTTATTTTCAAGAATATTCCTTTTTCATTCACACCTCCATAATGTCTTCAGATAGAAATGATTCTCATATTAAGTAATAATTTCAACTTCATGTACTTATTGCACAGTTAATTCTTCACACGACATTTAAAGTAATGTAACTGATTTCTAATTTCTCCATCACTTGAATTATTTTTTAACCTACCATGTTTATATCACATTTTATTATCTAGGTAATTTAGATCGACGTTGTTCTAAAAATTAGTTGATAAATTGGCATAGCTTATCTCTGTCTTCAAAGAGAATTGATGTTTATAATTATCTTAAAGTCGAGTCAGAAATGAAATGGTAGGATAGTGGAGAAGAAGAAGCAGAAGGAATAGGATGTCGGTCGTTTCAGACAGCCGACGAAGCGTTGCAACGTTTGTTCAACTGGACTATTTTGGTACTAACGTAAGAGTACTGTCTACGTCTACCTCATACTGTTTTTGTTCTTTTTATTTTGCACACTTTTGTCATCACTATAGTTACAGGCACACGTTCGTTACTCGAATGCAGAAGTCAGTCAAGAAAATCTTGGCCAGTAATTTTCTTCTTTTTCTTTTCTTTTATTTTTATTATTTCTGTCTCTTTTCTGTTGTTCTTATTACGCGTTTATTTCTACTGCCAAAAAGTTTCTCATCGGTCGTCTCGGACTTTAAATGTGGAATGTGCTTCCTGGTTGTCAAGTACGTCAGACACATTTAGTAACGAACATAGTTTTAGCATCAGTCTGATCAGTTAGGGGAAGTCATTTGTTTTATTATCATTCATTTATTCGTTTTTATATCGTGTATATCAAATTGTTTTCATTAATATTTATTAACATGATTGATTGTCACCTTCATTCAGGAAAGTCTTAGTTAAATGACCTGATCATAGTTCATTGTTATTACTTTTATTATTATTTTTTATCTAACACAATGTTGAATTGATTATCCTGCTTCATGATTTTTCCGAATATCACTATCCAACGTTATTTGAAGTTTTATCGTTTTACTTAATTAATTCGAACGTTAACTAACGTATTCTTATTAAAATAATCCGTCACGTGTATGTAAATTTATTGAAATGAATTATTGATTTAGAAAAATTGACTAGAAGAAAAAAATTTAAGTATTTAAATGTTTTTCTCATTTTTATTCATTGATAAGAATGAATTTATCAATTGCTATAATATTATTTATTCATTGTAATTAAAATCTATTTAACAATGCGAAAAAATCTTTTCCTTTGGTTTCAATCACTTTACTTCGTTTTTAATTAAACTAATTTCTCGTGCTGTTACCTGGTAAATTATCAGCGGTAAAAGTATTGTTCGTTTTACTTCAAGAGCATTAAATAGAAATTTTATAACTAGAATCAATAATTGATGTTTTTTCAAGTTTAAATATTACCATTTATTT